TTATTTTCTACATATTTATATAAAATAATCAATTATCATTTTCCCTGCCAACTACAATCCAATTGTCTCTCTCTCCTGCATTACTTGCAAATCACCCAAAGAATCGATGCCCTGACCTCTTCCCTTACCCGACACAATTTAAAAAGAGAAAATAAGAGACAAAGCCCTATCATTCAGCTATCTAAGACCGTTTCTTTAAAAGTTCAGTCAGGGCCCAATCCTGTTATTAGTGACGTAGATGACAAAATTCCCATTGACTTCAGTAACACAGGATTGGGCCCTTCTATCACGCTTGAAGTATAACATCTATGGAAATAAATAAAAAGAAAAATGTTATCTGAGTACCCGAAAAGAAATAAAAATTTAAAGCTGAAGACAAATGAAGGGGAAAGTGAATCATTTCAAATATTCAGAAAACACAATGAAATTCGCTCCAGACAATAGTTCCCTGTATGCAGAGAGGAGGATGTGGTATGTACGTACCGAGGGTTTTGGTGACAATATAAGAAACGAAAGCACAAGTTCAAGTAATTTGCACCTACATATCACTGAGCACTTAAGAAAAAGATATGGTCCTGCAGCCCTTATTCACTGCAGTAATCCACTAAAGCCGGTAGGAGAACCCATGTGCATTAAGGCCGTCGGATTGGGCTCAGGACATATACAGTGCTGGTGCTACATAATAACAAAAGACCAGGCAACCAAAAATTGCAAACATTCAAAGAGTGGATTAATTTCTACCACTCACTCTCCCTCTTGTATATTATTATTTACTATTAGTCTTGCGTTCATGTTGTCTGGTTCATATCTACGTAGGTTTTGCTTTCTGGTCTTGCATTGACATAATTATACAGTTTCTGAAGCAACTAAAATTAATTTGTTAAAAGCAGGACATGCTTGAAATCCTAAGTGTGACGTCATCTGCTTTCGCATTGTTCCGGTTAGTAACTTCGGACATTACAAGATGGCATCAAGCTCTCGTCTATCACTGATGAAGAGAGCTGCGGCTGCTTTTTTAATTTAACAGAAAGGTCAGATAAATATGCTGTTTAAAATAGCGTAATCATATTATACACATTCAGAGCAGCAGCTTTTACTACAGATTGGGCATGACGCTGCAAATCCTTATTATCAAGTGCAGCACTTACTACCAAGAGTAGTTCCATTGATTACATGCACATCCAGAGTCTGACTATCACAAACCACTGGGGGCTAAATTCTCTTCAGTGGCGGGGGGGGGGGAGGGGAAATCTGGAGTAATTCCACTTAAGTCAGTGGAGTTACTCTGGATTTACCCCGGTATAACTGGGAGATGAATCCAGCCACTTGACTGTATAGAAGATCTAATCTGAGGTTTCTGTGTAATATTTGAAAATATTTGATGGATCACATAAAATTCAAATAGATACTGAAAAAGCTGGGGAAAACTCCCATTTAATAATAAATCAAGGCATGTATTTTCTGTGTTATCAATCTCTTCCCTCCCTCCTTTCCTCCATTACGAGGATCTGAGAGAGAGAGCACACACTTTCTGGATCTTCCCTTCCTTGTCCTGGATGCCTTCCCTAGAATTCAAATGGCACATATTCAATTGTCAGTTTCATTTCAAACCAAACTAGCCTTTAAAACTTGACTGTTTTTAAAGCACAAAGGCTACCTCTTCGGGAGTTTTCCATGTCCCAATGTACTCTATTCATTAAAAGCGGAATTTGGAATCGGGGTAGCTGTGCACAAACTGACAGGCAAATCAATGCAGAGAGAAAAATCTGCATTTTTCAACTGAACCCAAGGGGAGGAAAATATGATGGCAATTTTAAACGAATGTCGCTAAGGCATTTGTAGCTTTCCCTAGACCCTCAGTCACCTCTCTGCATTTTAACTTTCCTAGTTCATTGACCAAAACCAAGTTAGGCTCTGCTAGAGATAGGAGTTTGGCTTTTTTACATTTAGAAATTAAAAACAGCCCTTTCCATTCAACCCATAACACCACTGACAGGGGCTGTAGGCAGAGGTGTTTGTAGGGAAGGAAGGCCAGACTGCTCACTGTGGGGTCATTTATGCGAGGCTAGTGTGAGAGCAAAACCCTGCCCACCTGACTCAGCAGCATTTGGCACTGGGGTAGGAGAGGGAGGGCAAGGCAATGGCAAATCAGACCCACAGTGTCCCCACCAGTGAGAATGATCCAGGTGGCAAGTTCATGATGATTTTTTTCAATAGCGCCGGAAGGTCAAGTGTCCTTTCTTCTCTGCTCTTGCTGCAAGGGCCTGGAGCCTTTTCAAGCTCCAACAGAAAATACTTTCCTTGGGTGGTTGAGGCCACTCGGCCTTGGAGTCTCTTGCTGAACAATTCCCTTGAGCCACAGTGAAGTCCCAAGAAGATGGGCCTAATCCTCTATGGTGCTGAGCACCTTCCCCTCCCAGTGACTCCCGTAAGCTCTCCTTCAAGTGTCTGCTTGAGTATCTCAGAAGGCCGGGCAAATCACGGGGCAGCTTGCAGCTCTGGTGAGCTAGGCAGATGACAGTGCAAGCCATTGTGGGTCAAGGGACTGAGCCTGATTCTCCCCTGCCCTACACCTTGTGCAGTCCTTAAATCGCTACCAAGTCAGAATGGCAGCATCTGACAGCCCCTTTGTTCAGGATGACATGGCTGCACCAGGTGCCTGGCAGTGGAGATAGTTGGATCACAAGTTGCAACTCCCAGTGCCCCAGGGTTGCAATTGGATCTGCTAATGTTGGACCCCTGCATGCCTGTGCAACCATATCCAGCTGCAGGACTGGAACCCGAGACGCCTGTCCCCTCTCAGGCGGCAACTTCGGTGGGAAGTTAGCCTGAGTGAGAACTGCCAGGCTAGCTACAGTGGGGTTCTGCTCCACGGCGCAGACGGAGATGCGCAGAATCATGGAGCCCATGCAGGGGTCTACACCCTCCCTGTGCTACAGTTTCCACCACCCTAGTAGGGTGGGGCATTTCAGAGCCGTAGATCTGCAGTTACACTGCTGAACTCCCACAACGGCTCTGTCGTAGTGACAGCCCTTCCCTTGCTCACACAGCCTAGGCTGGGGAGCTCCCTCGCACGTGGGCCTCCTCAGTGCACAACCTGCCCACAGGATCCAGGGCTTTGCCCGCAGAGAACCCCAGAGTGACTGGATTTAGGAAGCGAAGCTGCGAAGACCCCCCTGACCCTGCCGTTGGACCCATGCAGGCGTCTCCTGAGCCTTCCCCCTCTGAATCCATGATGATCTGAACCTGCACAGGAGCCTCAGCGGATACAACTGCAGCGTCCGGCCTCAGAGCCGCAGGATCTTACTCCGAGAAGCAGCAGATGCTCGGTCTCCCTGCGTCGGGCCATCAGTCCATGGGGCAGGCTAGGGCGTGTGGTCATTTGAAACCTTTCCATAGGTGGAGAGGTCACACCTAGGCCCTAAGCTAGGTGTGCTGAAGCACATGCCAATCTCTTCTGTGATTTCTGTATCCCCAAGCCGACCTAGCACCGGTAAAATCCAATGGGCAGCAAGTAAGAAACTGAAATGTATATACACAGATATAAATATTTGAAACTTAAAAAGAAAAAACTTAAAGTGGCAGGATTTTATTTGTGGTCCAGCTACGTTGGTTTCCTCTGACAGACATGGGTGAGGGCTGCTGTTAAGTTGCATTTGGGCAAATAAGGTCCCTGTTCCTCTCTGTTTTCATCCCCACTGTCCTTCCATTGACACCTGCTCGGCCACGAGCCTTCGGTCCCCAGGGTCCCTTTGTAAAACGCGAATGACAGCTGTGTCTTGTGGCAGAGAGCAAACCCCTGGAGTCGTGCACCAAAAACACACAACCAAAAAACGCAAAGGCTGGACTGAGTGCCGAGAGAGAACAGCGCCTTCCTTAAGTCCCACACTTCAGAATTGCATCTTTAATTAAAGAGCATCTGTGGCTCTCCCCTGCATCCCCGGCCGTGCCATGACTTTGGGCAACATTATTAAAAACGTAAAACCTCCCCGTAACCTCAGTCACTCCCCAGAACAAACGTGGCTGCCAGCGCCAGTTCCTGGCTTTAGCGGCCATGTGCGGAGAGTCAGTGGGAGTCGCAGCATTTGATCGCTCGTCCTTTTAGGGCTTCAACCCCCCTTCACACCTCAGCCTCAAGCAAATAAAATTACGAGCCGCAGCTGCGTTCAGTCCAATGCACTCGCATGTTTGCTGCCCCCCCCCCCCGCCCCAGCCAGCGGTAGCAAGTGCCCCCTGCTCACCACGCCCCGCTGAGCGCTTCGCACCAGCCAGAGCCAAGGGGAGTCGGGGTTCAGCACCCCGCGAGCGCTCACGCCTCCTCCTGCAGCTTCACACACCCCGCCGTGTGCGCGCAGCCCCGCTCCTGCTCTGGGGCAGCCCCAGGCCGGCTCCCCTGCTCCACAGCACCGAGCAGAGGAGAAGCCCCTGCCCAAACTTTCCCTTCTGCTAAGCCCCCTTCCCGGGGCATGCCGCCCGCTGGACCCTGGCCAGCTCCCCTTTGCCGTGGGAAGCCGAGAGAGGAGCCACCGCGGGCGACTCTGCCCCCCGGCCACGGTCACCGACTCAGTCCTGACAAGCCCGCAGCTGGATCTCCCCGAAAACCCCCGCCCCTGCATCTTTCACCCCCGCGGTGTCCTGCCGCCCTTCCAACCCGCTCCCCGCCCCATCGCTGCCGGCAGAGCTGCGCCCTGGACATCTCGCCGCGTGGGCCAGCAGCAGCCAACCGCCCCCCCGCCTCCTGGAGCCTCCCACCCAGTCGGTGCGTCTCGGACTCTCCCCTTCCTTCCCTGCCCCGCCGAACAGGACCTTTCCTCCGCGTCGGGCTGGCACTTGGGCTGCTTCCTTCGGCAAGTGCACTTGGCTGGCCTGGCAGCCGCCAGAAATCACAGCAGACCGGGGGCAAGCCCTTTCCGCGCCAGCCGCCAGCCCCAGAGAGCAAACAGCCCCCCGCATCCCCGCAAGAGGAGCCAGGGGGCGAGGGCAGCTCCCGCCGCTCTTACCTATCCGGATGACATGCGGCATCCCGTGCGACTCCTGGACCCAAACGGTGCAAAGCAGGAGCCCTGCCCAGTATTCCACAAGCACACTCCGCAGAGCGAGCCAGAAATGGGGCATCGTTGGGGGAAAACGCCTCCCGGCAAGTTGCGCGTGGGGGTCCCCTGGCGACCCGAAGACTTCGGGGCTAGCCCGAGAGCGAGCGGGGAGCCGGGGCTAGGCAGAGCGGGCCGGCCGGGGCGCGGGGAGGCTGCTCCTGGCTCATCCTACTGGGCGCTGCAGCCCGCGCCGTGCCAGACCCACGGAAGCGTCGCGGGCTCAGCCCCGCCGGCTGGGTGCCCGGGCCGAGCCGGGTGTCACCGGCAGGAAGGCTCTGGCTGCTCCGGCTCAGCCTGCCGGAGTCTCTGTCCCCTCCTACCCCTGATGCTCTGGCTGGTGAGCACAAAGCCCTGGAGTGGAGTCTTGCACACGCGCGCACACACACACACACACAGACACGCGCGCACACACGGGGCGGGGAGCAGAGTTTGGAGGGGGGTGAACCCCCCCCCCCACCCCAAGGAGCAGCCCCCAGGGGAGGCGGGCAGCCCCGAGCAGCTGGGGCTGGGAAGGGGCAGGCGGGCGACTCAGCTTCGCGGGGGACAATGGGAGGCAAGGGCTCCTCGCCGCCGGGGCGCAGGGCTCGCTCCGCCCCGCGCAGGTACCGGGACACGCGCAGCCCTGCGCCCGGGCGCACCGGTGCGCCCAGAAGGGCCGCGGCTGCGGAGCCCGCGCAGCCTGGGACCCGCGGGAGGGGGCGCGAGCCTGGGGGGGGGCTGCTCCTGGCCGCGTGCGAGCCTGTCCCCCTCCCTGGAGCCCTGGGCTGAGGTGGGAGGGGGCGCAGCAGTGGGGTGCCCGGGGAGGGGTGTCCCTCGGCAGCCCGGACAGTGACCGTGGGAAACTTCTCCGGGAGACCGTGAGCTCCCCTCCCGGCCAGGCTGGGGCTGCCTTGCAGCGGGGCTGCCCTCCTGGCAGCATCCCTTCAGCCTGGAGCAGGGAGACCCGCCTGGGCAGCGCCTCCTGGCCCTGGCCAGGCTATGGATGGAGGCATTCAAGGAGGCTGGATGCAAGGGAAAGGGCAGAGACTGAGCATCCTGCAGCCAGAGTTTATCTGCAGGCAGGAAAAGGGGATGGGGGTGAGGACAATAATAATAATTTTAAAACCCCCTCTCTGGTGGGAGGTGAGAGGAGTCCCGGCGCTGCAAAGCAGCCAGGAGTTCTGCAGTTATAGGCGTTGAATGACCTCCGCGACAGAGACAAAGGGCTGGAAAATCACTAGGTGAGCGGGCTGCTCTGTCAGCTTGCTGGGGCGAGGCTGCGGTGCGTTTATTTTTCTCTTTTCAATAGTTTGACCTATTCCATCATCCCCAGGCGCTCGCGTTTGCCGGCTGTCGGCGACTGCATCGCCTGGAACATCTGAGGAGCGGCTCTTCAATTTTCTTACAGACGTACTCATAGCCCATAAGCATCCATCCTTCTCATTGGCCTTGTCTTTTTAGTTCCTCGGTGGTAGGCTCAAAACCATCTCACATTGTCGGGAGGGCTGATATCTCTGGCCTCTCGCTGAGCATTTAACTCAGTACTAGCCCTCATGACCCTGCAATTACCATTCCTATCCTTAAAGAAAGAGGAAAGGCCACCCCCATCCCTATCAGCCTCAAGTGCAAAAGGAAAGACTCTGGTTTTGATGTTTTGCAGCAATTAGTGAGCACATCTGTGTAGCCAGGTATGCGCCCACCCGGGGGGTTTCTGATCACCTGTAAGTGTCTCTAGAGAATAGAATTAGTAACTGGTGGGGACAGTGGCTGTAATATATTCCTTGAGCAACAGGCAAGTTACCAAAATTATGACATGGGCTTTGGGCCTAATTTCACAAGGGGGATGACTTTTTCTCAGACTGGCCCCATTGAGTGATTAGGCCAATTACCAAGCAGCGGGGGCAGGGCTCTCCAGCTGTCATTTGCACAGGTGTTACACCCGAGAGCAAGGCTAATAGCTGCTAGCCCTGTGGGTGTGCAGGGGCCCTGAGCTCCTGGGGGAATTTCATTATCTACAGCTGGGCTGCGCATGTGGGTGTTTCAAGCAAAGACAATTTCTATCATCTCCTGACAGTGCGTTGGGGGTACATAGAGGATTAAAGATTCAGGGAAAGGGCATGGAGGCAAAGTCTCCCTGCTAATGGCGGATATGAGGGACATCTGTAGCCCTTTACAAAGGGCATGAGCTGGGGGCTGCTTGTAATGAGATACAGACAGATATGCCTGGTGAAGGAAGAGGCTTTTGCTCTGAGTTAGAGCAGCAGCTGTTCCTTGTTGCTGTCAGTCTGGGCAGGTTGTAAAGAAGGGGGGTTGATTTTATTTAAGTCAGGCTAGTGGGTTCTGTCTCTATGAATCCTTAAGGTGTAAAAGCCAGCTGCAGGCTGATATATTGGGTTAGTTTGTTACTGGGTAAGGATTGTCTCTTACTCTGGGTATGTGCAGCACCTTGCACTATGGAAACCTGATCCCGACTGGGGGCTGTGGATGGGTGCAGTGCAATATAAATACTAATCAGAGCATGGGTGTAGTTTATCTTTTGCTGTTTGATTGGGGTTGGATGGTATGCAGAGGCCATGGATGCTGCAAGCTTTCATGGAGAAAGCTCTGCGATGTTAGTTGAGGCAGGGAGAGCGAGCCCGAAACAACAACGAAGTTAACCAAAGGAAACAAAAATGTCTGCAATGTCTAGCAGCAGAAACTGTGGTGTATAGATGCTGGAATACCAAGTCTGTTCTCTCTGGGTTCATATCTTCTCCCCATCTCTACAGAAGCTGAGAGTCTTGCAAGGTGAAAAATTGAACAGGATGGCAAATCCCTGGTATATTTTTCTTCCCATCCTCCCTTGTATTCCTGAAGCCCCACCCTGGCGCTCTCACTGGCTGGCCTGCTCTCAGCACCCTTCTCTCTTGCATGTGCAACTTAGCAGCTTCATTCTTTTCTGGCCTTTGCTCCCCCCAGAGCGAATTCCGCTCTCGCACCAAATGTCAACCCCGGATTGTTTTATGTTCTATGATCAATAATAAAACAGTTTGGAAACCCCAGCTCCAAGTCCTTGTCTCAGTCACATCAGCATGTTTTTAGGAAGAGAGCGTGTAATTCTACATATGTGTTTTTACATACAAGTTCCCACTGACACCTGCTGCAGTAGATGGATTTAACACACCTACTGGTAATGGGCCAGACTCATGCATTGACCGAACTGTGGCAATACACAGCAATTGTAAACATTATGAAAGCTGCTCTGTGAAATGCAGACTCAATGCTGCACATTAATTAACTGAATTTCAACATAATGTAATTGTTTACACAGTGCATGTAATGTGCTGTACAAAATTTAAAAAAAAAATCCAAAACAACTCATTTCTTGTCTTGAAGACCTTCCTGTCTAACTAAGCCCACAATACAAATTGTCCTGGGAGACTCAAAAGACAAGGAACTGGTATCACCACAAGTTGTTAGAACACCTTACAGAAATCTATCATTGCTCCACTGTCCTTCACTAGAATAGCACAATGTTGTTTTACAGTTCTTATGTGATTTCCATTGATTGTGCTAAAATCTATTTGCACAATGCACAAATATAGTGAAAATAGTTTTATGGCAGTAATTCATCATTTCACAGTCTATCCATCACCAATTAATGCAAATTCTGTACTGTACTTACAGGGCATAAACATAGTATACTTTTTATTTGTATGAATTAGGAAGTTGTGTAGTCACAGGTAGCTTAAGATGTCCTGGTATTTTTTAGACTCTTTTACTACATGTTTTTGCGGTGGTTACACATAGTAGTTCCTGCTGTATTTGTTATACTGATAGGAGTATGACACTCATGAACATTTTACATTGATTGTATACATAAGCATCTTAATGTTCTCTCACCCACAGGCAAGCCTAAAGATTTACGGAAGTTCTAAATACCATTAATTTTAATGCAAAGCTTTTTCTCTTCAAGCATAAAAGGAACTGCTTACAAAAGAGGACAAAATGTTGAAACATTTTATTAATATCTAGAAAAAAACCGTTGATCAGTGAAGGACACTTTCAAATCAGGTTAATGTTTCCGACAACCTAAGAAGGATGAAATTCACACAAAGAGACATGATATGAGCACTTCTACTTTCAGGACATTTTTTCCACAATACCGTAGAAGGGAAAAAAGACCATTTAAAAAAACCAAAAAACCCAAAACAATGGCTGTCTAAACTGGTTCATTTATTATTAGCCACATGCACATGAATTTTGTTTAGATTTATATGCATTGGGTATAATATAACCACAATCAGTGTGAGATATGAAACCCAGTGCTCACATTACATGAGAGTCATGTGCTAAACCCTTGTAAAATACTACAGAGTAAATACGCAGGGTTTGGCAAATACAGATTCCTAGGTCTTGAGTGCCCTCTACTGAAATATTTTCAGCTATCCTTTAAGTTTGACAGTTAGCAGCTTGATTGATAGGTTTGCTAAATTAAATTCACTTTAATGGTTCACAGGTTCACCCGTTATGGATGATTCTTCCTTCCTTTCACCCACCCCAATTAAATACTTTTTTTTAGCCCTATCTGTTTTTCATTCTAACCTCTCCCCCAGCTTCCTATATGCCACAATACAGGGGGTGGGGAGAGAGAGAGCCGTATGGCCGGGGGGAGGGGAGTGTGATTTTGGAGACAATCTGGGAATTGTTATTGCATTGATTAGGATCAGGAGGGCTCCATTATGGCAGACACTCTGCAACCCTGTAAGAGATCGTCCTTGAATCAAAGAACTTTAATAAGAATAATAGAGTTTTTTTAACATTTATGTTATGGTAGTGTCACGGAGTCCCTGGGCGATGCCTCTGGAACTGCTCCCCATGAAGCCAGTCAGGACTCTGGGGTAGTCGCCTTTCTGTGAGCAGCCTGTCTTCAGGACACACAGCTCACACAGCTTCCACCTTCCTGGGTCTGACCTCAGAGCATTCAGCATCCTCTGCCCCTCCGTGCGCTTTCCCCCAGCGAGTCCGCTCAGGCGGGGCTCCTGGGGAAGCCAGAGGGTCCTGCCCCCCAACTTCGCAGTCAGACGTGACTCTCAGCCAGCCAGTAAAACAGAAGGTTTATTAGACGACAGGAACATGGTCTAAAACAGAGCTTGCAGGTGCAGAGAACGGGACCCCTCAGCTGGGTCCATTCTGGGGGGTAGTGAGCCAGACAACCACGTCTGCACTTCACTCCATGTCCCAGCCAGCCCCAAACTGAAAACCCCTCCAGCCCCTCCTCCTCTGGGCTTTGTTCCTTTCCCGGGCCAGGAGGTCACCTGATTCCTTTGTTCTCCAACCCTTCAGCTCTCACCTTGCAGGGGGGGAAGGGCCCAGGCCATTAGTTGCCAGGAAACAGGGTGTCGGCCATTCTCTGTGTCCAGACTCCTGCATACACCTGCCCTCTAGGGCTCTGCAATGATCATACACCCTTACCCC